GTGATCCACTAGGTTAATTTGGAAATAAAACATACTTTAAGTGTGAGGCCTGCTTGAATATCTGAACTATCTGTTTCTGCCATCTGGATATTTTAACAAGTTATCTGTTTTCTTGTCATCATTATACCTATTAGTTGTATAACCTATTCAGGTGAGTTTGTGAAAAGTTTACGATATTTTGTTGTACAAGTTACAAAACAGTTCAATCAGAGACATTGTGGTTGCTGACAATATGCATTGAAAAGAATATATATTAATCAGATTTCAACTCCTGAACTGTTAACATCTAACTGGTGACCACTCAATACCTATTACCAGGATCGATCAAGAAATAAGAAAATGAAACTTGCTGAAATACTTCGTGCTGAGAATTCTATATTGTACCCAAAATATGATATCGAATAAAGCCAATAATAATAATAATAATAACAATAAAGAAACTGGTTACTAAAAGGTGAATTAGGTAAAACGGTATTGGAACTTGAGACTTAGTCAAATTCATTAACAATTAAGTCACCACATCACTTACAGTATTGACTAGCTATTGAAATTGTTTACATAATTCGTATTTTGTAAAAGTAGATTTTGATTCAGTACAGTGAAATGAAATCAACAAAAATGAGAAGCAATAGCAAGGGAAATGATATCAAATGGAATAGAAGCTTAACTACACCCGATATCAACAGTGTTGCAAATCGATTTTTAGAATGAATATATATATATATATATATATATATATATATATATATATATATATATATATATATATATATATATATATATATATATATATATATATATATATATATACTACGTACAGATTTGTGTAGATAATGATGAGAGATACTATAAAGCATGATCTATGAAAATAGAAGACAAGTATATGCAGTAAGCTTTTGGTCAACAGTGTTTTGGAAGCACTTGTAATGCATTGTAGAGTGACCAAGCGAACAATGTTGAGATAAGGTGTCGAGTATGATTAAATAAATATCGGTAATCAGTTGATGGGGATGTGATTATTCATAGACTGAGGTTGTTGAAACATGTACCACATATGCCTAATCACCAGCTACCACCGGCTGATAAAGTACGAGTAAGTAGAACGAAAGCCGAAGACGGCCGAACAAGGAAGCGGCATCATTCAATGAATTTGTAGACTATTAATCTGAGCTATATTGATAGATTTAGACTACTTAGTTTTGATCTTATATTCCTCCACATTTATCTACCCATTTTATCTTCTCTAACCATAATCAAAATGTATCATCTTTCTCATCATCATTTTTATGACAATTATTTTGATTCTATTGTTATTCATTATGCAAATTTTATCTCATCATATAGACGTGATATGTCAGCTAAGACTAATATACAATTTTCCCTAACTCTATATTGATCATAAGTGACTAGCTGAATGAAAAAAAGAGAACCAAAACATTAAACAAATATTAATACCTACAACAATCTGATATTTGAAAATATCATTCTTCTAATTATTAAACTATTGTTCAACTCTCAATAATTCTTTCCATCTTAGAAACAAAGAAAGAATTTCAGAGTTTTTTTTCTCTTTTTTTTCTAGGATAAAGTCTTTCATCATGAAAAACACCGATCACATGATTAGAATTGAATGATATAAATGGTAATTATTTAATATTATCAATTTCCAGGAATGACGTAAATTCATCAGTTTTTCATAAGAAGAAGAGAGAAACAATATCAACATTTATTTGTAGACTAAATGAGCACATACGCCCGTGCGTGCACGCACACACACACACACACATGTACAAACACATTGCAGAGAGAGTAACAAAATTGGAATGTGTACTCAATGAACACAACAAGACTAATCAACAATGTAATGCTACTTATTAATTATTTAGCAATATTTTTTTGTTTTCTCATTCAAATCTAACACAATAATTTAGAAATAAATTCTAATTATTATTATCATCATCATAATTATAATTTAATTAAAAGGTTTATTTAAAAATTATATTTTACAAGATAAATAAAACAAAAAAAATAGGGGGAGGGAGAGCAGGAAATCAATCTTAACGTTTTAGTTTGCTTTGTTTCTTCTTAGAGACAAAATGAAATTCGTTTTTTTATAAAGCAAAAAAATAATAATAATCCACATCTATGATGAGATTGTTTTCTTTTTCTCAATTAGCTTAAGATGATTCACAAAGTATTTGAAATTCAGAAATTGTATTATGTTTACCTGTGAGGAATTTAGTTTTATCAGTGATAAATATATTATATCATTGAGTTTATTTGTGTTATAAACGATTGTGATCATTTCCGAATTGAGTTCTATGTCAAAATGTCATAAATATTACTTATGTATTATGCAATTCATTTACAAAATACATAATTAGATATTTAATAAGGTAATATTATCAGGCTGCCTAAATTGAATAAGCTAAAGCATATCATTCATAGACTAACAAAAAGATTGTATTTTAGTTGGTAGACGAGATCACAAACAGTTTCATTTGCAAAATACTTAAGTAAATAAAACTTTTACAAGACATAAAATAGTGGTTAGAATTTTGAATTCAATCCTTATAAGTTATAATGTTAATGTAACTCCAACTTGAACTCATTAAACCAGGCAATTGAATTAAATCTATGTCAATTTGTTATAACCTACCCTATTAATCTTACAAATAGTTGTAGAAATCAAGTATGTTCGAAACTTGAATAGAGTAAAGAGACGAAAACTCAAGACTAGCGTAATAATACATTTACTTCATAGAGCTAAAACAGTTCTATCAGTTAGGAAATATTTCAGACTAAAGTTTTCACTAGGAATAATTATGATTCCCGATTCAAATCATGCAAAACTTCTTATCACACCCAATACATACGTGTGTAAATAGAGATATTTATTATCTGTGCTAGTGTTTACATTATTACAGTGACGTTATTTATGTACACAGTAGGCATTAAATAACACTGACAAATTTAAACATTTAAAATGTTCGTTTAATGTATGATACAGTACATATAATAATAATGATTCAGAACTAATATTCAGAGGCCTGATTAATGTGGAGTTATTTTAACAACTTACAACTACAAATTTTCAGCTTGAATATAATATTTAAGTGATATATAAGTACGTGTATAAAGTGCGTACTGCTTCCCATGTATCGTTCAATAGATACTTTTACACATTAATATGAAACGATTGGACAAAGTAAAAATAGACACGTCACCATGGTCAAGATGAATGCATATTCTAAAAAAGCCGACGCTAAATATTATTCCAGAGTATGGTTTGTGTTTGTTTACAACGTTTTTATTCATAAAATAAGTGGAATCTGGCATATATATATGTATATTTACGTTTATATTTGTCCCACAGGTACAGCAAAAGTACTTTAAGAAGATGAATAACAAGCAAGCAGAAAAGATAACAATGGTAGTTGTGCAAAACGACATGGAAAACTGAGTTTAGGTTTCTTAGTAATTGATTAACTGATAGAATATCTCACTTTATCTTTAAAAATAACTCCATGAGCCAGGGCAGGAGTTATGAACTTAAAATTTTTTCTACAATTATTTAATCACATCTAAAGTCCCCAAACCTTTTTTAGTTCAAAAAATCATTTTACTACTTATTATTCTGTGTTGTTTACACTTTCGTAGTAAGAGCTGATATTTTTTATACTGCTTGTACACGTTGTGCAATTTTAAATCCATTACCTTTAGAGTAGCCCTGATGGAGCTTTTTAATCTGAAATCGGTTATCAAAGGTTAGTTACAACGCTAATCATGACTGTAATCAAACGCATCAAACTCTTTATGTTATTTAAAAATATCAAAAAACCAATTGTAGATTTGGTGCTTTTAAATAACACTAACTCCTCTGGTACGTGAAAATAATAAGTTTATTCACAAACGTGCGCAAGTGAGTTGTGTTTACACGCACTTCATAGTGAAGTTACGACTACTAATAAATATAACCTATCCTGAATCATTTCAATCAACGAACTGTAAGCGTAATGTTTCTTAGGCAATTCTTGATATCAAAGTCTGACCAATAACAGCAGATATTTTTTGCTAATGCCTGTATGCTACTTTCAAAACTCCTCCCAGCTTCGAATTCGCCCCACAATATTGTTTTTAATATAATAAGTAGGGAATTTAGATGTGGCTAGTTTTTGTCTTAAGGTAATGTGAGGGGTGATCAACATTCAGATATAGAACATGGAATGTTAGCTTCATATTATTCTAAAAAGTCTAAAATATTCAATCACCGTCAGCATAGAGTGACACATATTCTTTGACTTAGTTGCCACAGCACATTTGCACACGATAATCATAAAGTGAATCATTAAGAGGTTGGAATAATGTGACATTGAAGAAAAAGAACAGATCCGGAAATTCGCCCAAAAATTAGGGTGAAAAAATATGAACAAATAAATTCGAGATCTGGAGGAATAGAAGGGGTTCATCTATCATACAATGAACAGATTCAAGGTTTTTTGTCAGCGATACAATCCCTAACTAATTCTCTTATTAAGTACTCCACTAAACGAATCAGTCCCCCATACATGAATATTGAAAATGAATGTTAGTTGTTTCATAAATGCTTGAAAATACAAGTATACAATAAATCATTGAATATTTAAGTTTCAACGCGAAATCAATTGTAGACACTCGATTGACCACATTGTTATTACTATGTTCTGATGAACGGTTGTGTTTACAAAGATCATAGTTTCATCATTCTAAGACGAAATTTAAAGTCATTAGAGAGTCATTAATATATGTAGTACTTTTGCGTGAAGGCACCCTATAGTTGGTCAATGAGTATTTTACTTTATATTTTGCGTATCGCTCGTATGGAATATGAACGTCGTGCTCAGGTTTTGTGTTTCAAAAATCTTCAAGGAAGCACAGCTCTTTCTTTGAACTTAAAACGAATGATAAGTTATAGTATTAAAGTTTTCAAAAATCATTACATCAGTAAATAGCATACTTACAAATAATATCTTCTTCACACTTCGTCACACTCATTTGGCACAAATATTAACAAGATTGAAACATCCCAATAAAAACAGAAACTCGAAACTGAAAGCCACCTTTATATGACGGTTTAACAATCATTTTCAACTCAATTATTGCAGATTTAAAGACGAATGAAACATTTGTGCATTTTGTGACAATGTTTAGTTTCTCGAGTCTCAAACTGTTTTAAACACACATGCTTATTTCATCTGTTAAATCACTGTGATGTTCCCGGAAGTGAATGACCATAAATATGGAATATAGTGTTACTCAAAAAGCTAGATCTGGATCTGGGTAACACATGATTAAACTTAAGTGACGCGTAACCAAGTGAATAGTTCTTTCTTACGTGTACAAACAAACTCAAGGTCAAAAAGAGACCAAAGGTAAAGTATAATCCTGTGATATTTTCTGTCACAGTATATGTAAGATCCATCTATTTTCAGCAGCGAAAAATAAGGAAAGATGTCGTGAAACTTATGGTCCAATGTTGGAGAGGGATAGTCTGGTGTGCATTGGCCTATTTAAAGAATTTGAGTAGTCTAATGTCTCAGCATCTTACCTAATTGGTAATAGTTTGAACCAAACTCTAAAACTTCCTTTCTCAGTCCTAACATTCTTTGAAAGTATTTTCCGCGTGAAAAAATATATAGTCTTCAGGGATTACTATAGTAATTCAAGTGAGGCACGTCAATAGTTACTGCACGCAGTACTGAAAATCCCTATGTCTATTTATAAGTCAATAAAATGTAGAAAACCAGTTTACTACAACTTTGGAATTAACATTATAGCAGAAGATATAGGATGAATCGTTTCAGTCTATTTTTATGAGATAAATCATCATTTTGTACCGTCATTTTCACAGTCATTTGCTTCCTATTCTCTGTTCTCTGCGGGCCATTTAACCCTATTCCCGTCACGTTTTAGTCGAAACCATGTATATTCATGCCTTGAAAGTCGACATTAATGTAGAAAAGCATATTGAATGTACACAAGCAATCTTAATCTAAAACTTAACTACATAATTCGTCGTATTGCCGTAAGAAATATGTTACTTGACGCTAGATAATAAGCTTCCCGCATCAGCTGTTTACGAAATGGCTACGTAATCTGAACCTCTCAAACTTTGGTTACATTGGCGTTTGCCATTTTAACTCATGTTTACTATCCGCTTTGCATTTAAAGATGCCACAAGTAATCGGAGTTTGACAGCACCAAAATCAGTAACAACTTTTATTATCAAGATGTACCAACCCGGCCAAATCAAACATCGGAAACTAAGAGGTTTGAAGATATATTTGATAAGCTATTGATGTATCGAGAAGTGATGAATCTAAGCTGGCTATAGATTGTGGAGGATGTGAAGCACGGCATACCCATCCTTGAACAGTTGCGGATACGTAGCTAGGAGGTTTCAGCTAGATGAGTCTACAAAAACTGACGAGGTCAACATCGAAATATCGAGGACTTACAAAGCTATTGACTTTGGGTATTTATTTACGGCTGCACATTTAATGTGATCTCATACGGCAAACCATGACTCGACATCTCTATTGCATGTAAGTCATCTTAGTTCCATTTGCGGCCTATTAACTTGCATTTCGGGTTTGAGAAACATCGAAACGTCGTCAAAAATTCTTGACGAATCTAACTAGAATCTTCGTATACGTTTGTATTTACGCATCCAACTCTTACATTATTATTACCCAAACTAACGTTCACATAACTAGCAATATAAATTATTTCGCTGACATTTGAGCACACCCGAACTTATGCATTTGTCCTACTTCAACGTCGTACTTTCTGCGTTTTATGAAGTATCTTTTCCTCGTGGCTGTAATCTATCAAATCAGTCCAACACATAAATCAGATTTTCACATACTCGACGATATAATAACTGTCCTGTTCAACTGGCGGTCTGACGGCACAATCATTCGCACGAATCATCAGTTTATACAGTCAAGCAAATATCTTGCAGACTGAAAACGACAGTGTTGTTTCTGTACTACCACTGACAGCGTTTGCATCAATATTGTTGACATGAGTCTGGAGTGACAGTCCTGTTTTCTTATGTTCTCTTATATTTCCTTGTGTTCTCCTTTACTTATTATAACGAAAATCATCAGCACTCAAAGCTCTGACGAAAGGTTGATCGATAACTTCATGATTACACTTCTGCACTTCCAGTTAATCTGCTAGATATACACATTAATATGGTCTAGTTCATTACTGGTAATACAACAATAATGGAACTATTTCCAAAATGGTGGATTTATCATGATGTGACTGCCTAACCTATAAGGTCTTACGAAGAAATCACACCGACTCGTCCTACCGTGACAATCAGCAATATGACTTCTAACATTTTCGAAGAGCACATATGTCCTGGTAATAGGGTAGCATATTGGATACAAAAAGAAAAATGTTATAAACATTGGCCACGCCTGCATGGTCGAGCCATGCCAATTCGATTCCTTTCTCTGACGTTACCAATATCGGTTTTCTCTTAGTGTTACATGTTAAGTGTTAAATCCTCAGTGATTATACACTCAGCTTTGAAGATCGTGTGGTTGGGAATAAATGTCATTACACTGTAGCGTGGGGTCGAGTCCCACTTGACTATGAACACCACTACAAAGGAATGCGTGCCAAATAAATCCATAAAATCACACGGAAGCTAAATATCAGAAGGCAGTTAATGGACCAAGTCGAGATATATTTGCTGGCGATCTCGTGGTATCGAAAGGATAGCAAGATCGTGCCAGGATACAAGCTTGGTTACAGAATGTAACCGAATTCGCGCGAGGTCACAATCAAAGTGTGTATAATGTATGTTTTTAGCAGAGTTAAACGAAGAGCACATTGAAACGGTCACTGGCACAATTGGTTATAATAATAATTGTTTTCATTAAACCAATCGTGTTCTCGTGATATAAGTGAGTCACTACAACACCCTCTCTCTCTCCAGAATCGACGTAATTCTGGTTCGATACCAAATCAAGTGGCATTGTCGCCCTCTAGAGGTTACCGAAAGAATATTAGGAGTCCTCCAGGCATTAATAAACTGAAAAGTCAGAAGTAGGGCGGCAGCAATTTCAGAATGTTTGGTTTCATTGTTAATACACTTAAAATGAGAGGTAAACAAAGTGGGATTATAATAAAGAAGAATGATTAAGTATAGAGATATTTTACCAATGTACATCACCAGCTTAGATGATCTATGTCGAAAATGATTGGAGGCCTACTCGAGTTAGACTTGAATGATGTGACAAACTAGCTAATATCGAAGTCACACCTCATGGTCGGCACCATACGTGGACTACTCCGTTGACGTATCAAGGAACCACAGATGCTTTGAAAACTGTACAACACAGTGGACATCATTACAGAAATATATTAGTTAAAGTAGAAGCAAGCGAAAGTAAGACCACTGCCGCATGGGCCAGTCCCTGGCATATGACTATCTGATGCGTGTTGGTTGTCCCCGACCTTGACGAGGATCGACGATTTGCTCGATATTCAATGACCCAAATGCGGAATGATTTGGCTAGGGCTTAGTGACATTTTGCTGGCCCTACACCAAGTTACTTTAAACTGCATAGAAATAATCGTTAGTTATTGGCTTAACATATGGGTAGTATGAGTACTTTGTGCTTAAAAACAAAAAAGTAATCAATGTTGTAAAGATTCTGATAATAGTATTATCTTTGGTTTAGACTAGAAAGTTGATTTTAATGTCGACATTCTGTCCGTAGTTATTAATTTCCAATTTCATTTTTATTATTAGGCTAGATGAAGTAATAGGAGTATAACCATGAAGAGGAAAAATTCGATCTAATGTCCTAGTTGGTTTGTTCACTTTAATTCGTTTATTTAGTTACGGGGAGATTTATCCAATTTTCATAAAGCCTGTGACAAAGTTCAGTAATAAAAATAATACATACGAATTATTATTCAAAATATTTTAAAACGTAAGAGGTGTTAATTATATGAATTTTGGTCAGATAGCTAACGGCAGTTCGTCAAACGCGAGTACAACCGTGAGTAAAATACTCTGATTTGCAATAGACCAAGTATTCATATTCATACATACTTATTGATGGTGTATACAAGTCAGTTGCAAGTATCAAGATTGAGATAGCATAGAGATCTTTGTCTATGAATGTGAGCACTTATAAGGCATTGAAATCAAATAAGCTTATGTGCCACAAATATATGTGACTTATTGTTGTACGACGCTTTCGGATGAATAAATCTTTACATGATAAAATTAGGTGCTGTCTATATGATTATGAGGGAGAAAATAAGTTGTAACATATGTATAGATATAATTCGACATTTCAACGATACAGACTAACTCTCTACTATAAAGCAATGTTAATACAAACATCTGCACCAATTAATAACACACTTTTAGTACTATCAATATAGTATCTTCACATTTGCAGAGGACTGAAGGTTGCTTATCTGAGAAACTCAATCACTTAATAATGCAATTTACTTCAAAAAGGCTTGAGGGAACTTGAAAATATCATAGTTTTTTATTGTCATCGTTAACTGTCTAACATTAACCCAACCTGAAAGTCATACTTTTTAGCACATCAACAAATCTAACATTCCCAGATTTATCATTACTTGCTATTTCCTGACCAGTGGCTGCCGTCTTTTTTCCATCGGTCTTATATCTCAGCAATGGTCAGAGTATTCCTATCCATCGTTCGGCAACCTATGGAAAGCGACTGCCCCCGACGAGCATAGTGTCGATTCAAATGGCCGTCCAATTCGGTGATAGAGTATTGTAGAGGCAGTGAGATGTCGCTGGGCCCTAGCTAAATCAATCTGTAGACGGGTCACTGAGTATCGAACAGTCCACCACTCAAGATCAAGGACGATTAAGGAGCATCAGTTAATTGCATACCATGGACTGACCCACGAGGTGATCGCACTTTGTTGCTTGTAGCTACCCTTAATATATTTATGTAATGACGTCATTCGTGTTGTACAGTCATCAAAGCAGCCACAGCGCCGGGATACAACGAAAGGATAATCTACGTCGGATACTAACTGCGAGGTGTGACTTCAGTGTTAGGTGGTTGGTAACACAACCGTTATCTAACTCGAGTAGCCTCCAAACATTTGATACAGATCGTCTACGTCAATGGTCTGCAAGACTAGCATTATGAATGCATCCTAAACTTATTCTTTTTTCATTTCCATCGTTGCTTAAGTTTGTCAATTACTGAGAACACTTATTGTCTTATCTCAATGTTGAGTAGTATTCGATTTCGACTAAGTCGGTCAGCTGATCGAAATAACTATTCAACTACGATTATAAAGGTATATCATTGTTATTTAACAAGCATCAGTAGCATGTTAGTGTCCCTGTATGATATATCTTTTAAAATACCAACTCCTCGTAAGTATAGCTACAATGTACTGCAAACACATATGTCTGTAGCATATGTAGGCAAAAATCGATCAGCTGTCGAATATA